AAATTAAATCTAATATTAAAACTATTATTATTAATATTATTAAATTTAATATTTTATTAATATAAATTTGTTATTATTTTATTAATCAATTATTTTATTGGTCATTTTTTATTATTTTTTAATAAGATTTTTTTAGGAATTATTTTATAGGAATTATTCGTTATGAAAAATGTCATTGTTTTATAAGTTCACAGCAGTTTACTCAGCAGAAGTACCAATAAACATTAGGAGCCAAGATACTGTCAATATTTTGTCTCGATTTTTACACAGACGTGGATGAGGGCGTTAGTGAAAATTCTGTAGTGATGAGATTATTATTTTCGCCCGCTGTCCTAAACATCATCATCATCATCTTCATTATCATAATCGGTTAGTTTCAATTTCCTTCACGAAAGACAGACTTAGGGAAAATCCACAAAACGCTAGTGTGTCATACAGAGTTTCGAAAATGGGCAATTCACAAAAAAAACAACTTTATGGTACATCCTGCCAACTTTTGGGATTGTGCAAACAGCAACGCGATCAGATACTTAAATAATTAAAGCGTATTCCTTTAAAAAGGAAATGATGTGGCCTGATATTTACATAGGAATTTCAGTAATCGTGTGTATTTTATGACCAGCACAGCCCCACTAGATCCCTAGGCTACTGAGAAATTGGTGCTTTTATCGAGCGACCATCTTTAGATGCTTTGCCAAACAAAACTGAAGAGCTTCTATCAGCCAGGGTTTTGAATTCAGCGTCGTCTTTCTGCTAGACAGTTTGTAAACTAAGGCTAGAAATCCCAAACCGCCTTGATATTTAAAACATAACTGCTGAAGAGAACAGATGGATTCATAGCATTTCTCTGGGTATTTCATTTCCCGAGCCGCTAACCAATACACTACCCATATTCCCGTATATAAGGTGATCCTTATTACGAAGCTCTGCCCAGTCTGACATTTTAGGTACCACCTATCCCAAATCATTGAGGCCAGAGGCATGCTAAAAGGGAAATGCTCAGGGTACTGCGCACGATACTTACTTTTAAGCACTACCTTATAAAACAATGCTCTTGCTTTCCCTCCCGTGGTCAGTATACCGATGAGGATTGTAACAATGCCTGACGAAAAGAGTATTAATAGTTGGGATAAGATTGATATCGATAAAAAATTAACATTCTCTTCTAGTTATTTGAAGAATTATAACTCAAGCCTTTCCAAAAAGAAAAACTATGATTTGTGCTTGTAGTAAAAGCATTGAATCCATCATAAAAATGAAGGATGTAGAATTAGTAAATACTAAACACTATAACTACCTCGGTGTATGGATAAGTTGCAACAAATTTCGTAAATAATGTAAGGATAGCCTTCGCTAGGGGCAGATTAGTCCAACACCACAAACTACTACAAAACCAAAAAACTTAAAAACTCATGTCATGGTTTTAAATAATCTCGATGGAGACTTTAAAATGGATGTCATGCATGACGCCCCACATCTCAGATCAATGATTAGAAAATGACATTGAGTGAATGAAGCATATAGCTCTTACGAGGAAACTCCTTCTTCGAACCTCATATACGGGTGCTATAAAACCACAAAGAACTGTATTAAGTACCAGAAACCACATCAAATGAGGACTTTCAACAACGGCAACAACTAAAATGGATAGTACATGTAACTCGAAGAGAAAACAATTGCATAATCAAATGCTGACTCTCCACATTACTTCAAACAAAATATTAGCAAGAAGCTTTCCATCAATACTGGAAAATCGATATCAACTAATGAATTTGAAAAACATATTTTCCTGAAAAAAACTATTTTAATAGAAAGATTTTATAAATTTCAACCGACTGAAGCACTGTCTGCTGGGTCATTTAATGATGAATGTTTCCTTCTAATATTACCATAACCATTATTTGTAACATATTCTATCCGTGTAGGCGTGTATATAAATTCCAGATATTTTTTTTTTAAAATAGCAAAGTGTAGTAGTTAGTGATATCGCCTCGTAGTTTATTTCTGAAATCGTCTGTTCAAACCTCGTTGTACGCCTGCGTGCCTGACCAAATCAAATTAGTTATTGAAATTTCTGAGACACATAATTTGGAATATTTGACACTCAAGAAACATACTGAAGGCAAGAGTAGAAAGAACGAGAAACCTACCATTTGCAAATGGATGTCAGATGAAGTAGCGGGAACGATAGCAAAAAGCAAACTTTGTTAAGAGCTACAAAGAGTAAGTAGTTGAAGAGAGTCATGATGGCGTTCGTCCAAATGAGACGCGACACAAACAATAGTATAAGATATTTAATATCAACGCATTATTTTACTTACAAAATAAAGCAGTTTTACCTTATTCACTTCAGCTCTCGCCACTTTTCTTCTTAGCTCTACCACTAAGAATTTAATTAGAATTTGACAATGAATGATATTTGCTGGTCATTTTTTTTACCCATTCACGCAATATTAATATCTAACCTAACATCAAGGGATTACATCGCTATTCTCTCTCTCTCTCTTTCTTTCTCACTCTCTCTGCGATTTTCCAATTTAAAAACAATATTGACGCTTTTCACTCCAAAAATGACTCATGCGAAGAGATAACGTGTCGTGTTCAATGCATTATTCTGTAAAACTTCGATGTGAATTATATTTTAGCCACGACAGCTTATCTGAAAAGAACCAAACTGCTAGTTCATTGATAGCAACATAAATAGAGTTTTGTTTACGACAGCTGTGGCCTGTCAACTGATGACCGGCTGCGAACCCCAGTTGATAATTTTCTGTTTGCGAACACTACTCGATTCCAGCATCTTTAAGGTCGACTAAACCTCCTGATTATCGGATGAGAGAAGATGACTCATTTAATAATAATCGACAGTTACACAACACGCATTTTGATCGAATTCAGTAGGTAAAGAGGACATGCAAAATCGAATTCAAATCAACAGTATACGATTAAATATTTCATATTGAACTATGTCTATTTTTAATTCTCTTCAGGAGGGCCTCAGAGGAGCAATCTATGGAACACGGTATTTGGCAGATTGGTGTCACAAGTCATTTCTCCTGAGTTTTGTATCTCTGTACTATTTTGTTAGGCGTAAGCTTGCTCAGTCAATATCTACATCGATATCCGCCGTTGAATAATGATTATTAAATAAGACTCACAACGATATTCGATCCCTAGTAAATGCCTCGCAATTGTCGAAAGTTGTAAAGATACCCTCGTTCCATTTGAGTTCAGTCTGGTAGTGTGTTAATTACAGTCAGCCAGTATGTATATCCGAAACCTGGGCCTTATGAAGTCTGAACGATTCTTATAATGATAAAAATATTCAATATATGCCTTTCACACAAAAGAGTACAAATATTTGACAAACGAATTTAAGAATATCGATCTTTATTTCAGTTATATTTCCATCCATATTTCATCTATATTCCATCTATATCACAATATCAATATTTTGTCTATATTTCGCGTATGTTTCTATCAATATTTTCATATATATATATATATATATATATATATATATATATATATATATATATATATATATATGTTTCCATCTATAGTTCCATTTATATTTTATCTATATTTCGATATTTATTCCTATCTATAATATTCATCAAGATTTCCATCTTTATTTCCATTAATATTACTATATATCTTATTTCTATATTGTTTATATTTCTATCTATATGCCTATCAGTATTTCCATCTATATTTCCATCTATATTTGTCTGTATTTTGTTTATATTTCTATTTATATCTTGTGACTTATTTCAAACTATATTTTCATCTATATTCCTAACTATATTTGATTTATATTTCTTTCTGTTTCTAGCTATATTTCTACCAATATTTTCTTAAATATTTCTATCTATATTTTCCTCTATATTTCTATATATTTTATTTATATTCCGTTTATATTTTTCTGTTTATAACAATATTTCCGTTTATATTAGTATCCATTTTTATTCTATATTACTATCTATATTCTATCTACATTTCGTTTATATGTCTATCAATATTTGTATCAATATTTCAATCTATATTTCCATCAATACTTCTATCTATATTTCCATCTATATTTTTATCTATCTCTTATTTAGATTTATTTTATATTTCTATCTATATTTCCATTAATATTTCCATCTATATTACTATCGATATTTAACTCTATTTCTATCTATATTTCCATCTTTATTTCCATCTATATTATTAATGTAATGAATATGCATACACCTGGGTTCCCCCTCACAGTAATATGATTGCTGGCGTCAGCCATAAATACAGACTGATGTGGAGGTACATGGACTACGCCTATAGACTATGCCTATTGCCTACCACTACGACGAGAACCAGTTCATTATGTTTACCTGCTAGATTGTCCTACCCGGTTACAGTAGTCAACAACCACTTTGCCACTTCGAACAAATATATCACTTTCTGGGACATATAAATTATTATTTATATTTTATCTTTATTTCGTCTATATCTCTATCAATATTTCTATCTCAATTCCCACCTATATATCCATCTATATTACTATCCATATTTTAACTATATTTCTATCTATATCTTACCTATTCAGTCCTCAATATTTATATCTAGGTTTCCATTTCTATTTCTATCAATATTTCCATCTGTATTCCCATGTATAGTTTATCTATATACCGTCTTCCATTTTACCATCTCTACTCATATCAATATTTCTCTATATATTTTCATTTATATTTCAAACTACTTTAACTATACAACTGTAACAATGTTAGATTTTGTAGTACTTGCTGGTGGTACAAAATGTTGCCGAAGTTAAAAGTATTTTTAAAAATGGAAACAGTATTCTTATCGCTACATAAAGCTGCGTGTAGGTTTGGTACGATGAACTCATTAGTGATGAAAGGTGTGAACGTATTGAAAGTTTATTTTGAGTTAATTTTAAGTTCGAATTATTCAGAAATACGAGCAGGTAATATTCGAATTGATATAAGTGGCAGAGTAGTAAAATGTCTTTATCCTTTTATTTTATTCTTTTTCTCTTTTCCTTTTTCTTTCTTTCTTGTTTTTCATATCTTGCTTTTCTCTGTGACATTTATTTTTCCCCTTTCTTTTATTCTTCTCTCATTTTTTATTATTCTTATGTTTTCCTTCGTCTTCAGTTACTCTTCTTCTTTTTTCTCAGCGCTTCCTTTTATTCTTTAGTTTTCATTTCTTTCTCATTTTTCACTTCCGCCTCTTCCTATTACCTTTTTCTTTATTCTTTCACTTTGTTATTTTTATTTTTGTTCTCTTGTTTCTGGGTTTTCCATTTTCTTTTCATTTTTCATTATTTGTTCATTTCTTTCTCCTTCCTTACCTTCTGTTGTTTTTTTTTCTATCCTCTTTCGTTTTCCTATTCTTCTATTTGTTTCCCTTTTTTTTTTCGTTTTCATTATTCCTCACTTCATCGTCTTTTTTATGCTCTTTCTTTTTTCGTTTTCTTTTCTTTATTTTTCATTTCTCCCTCATTCTTCACTTCCGCCTTTATTCTGTGCTTTTTTTTCTTTTTCATCTTTGTTATTATTCTTGATTTTTGTTATTACCATTTTTCTTATTCCTCACTTCTGCCTCCTTTTTTTATGTTCTTTCTTTTTTTTCTTTTGTTTTATTCTTTTCTTTTTTTCTTTATTTTTCATTTCTTCCTTATTGTACATTTTCTCGCCTTTCTTCTGCACTTTTCCTTTTTTTTCATTATTTTTATTTTTTCTTATTCTTCATTTCCCCCACCACATTTCTTCCTTTTATTCTTTTTCTTTTTCTTTAATTATCTTTTTCTTTTCTCATTCTTCTTTTACTCTGCCACACTTCTGGACTCGTTCATCTCTCTTTCTCTTTATCGTTTTTATTTCTTTTTAAAGCTTTTCTTGCTCCTATTTCTTCTGTATTCTTTTTCATTTCCTCTTTACTGATTTTCCTATCTTAGTTTTTTTTTTTTTTGACCATTGATTCGACTTCATTGATTTTCACTTTATTGATTTGCTCTGCGTTTGACTTAAATATTCTTGTCCCATTTTATGAACATCATATTTTTATTTCATTTTATTTCGTTTGAATTGCTTTTCATATTTTATTGTTTTTTTCTTCTTCTTCGTAATTTTTTTTTTTTGTCATGTTAAATATCTGCTTTTACTTCAGCGTCTTATTTTATTCCTATTGTTCATCAAGCTATTTCATTTGACCTTAGACACTTCCTTTGCTCGCTTTTCATCTTCCAAGCCCGAATCAATACACCTCGATATTGCATTAGGGAACGAATTTTGAATATTTAAAAATATAAATATATATGAATTCATTTTTATGGTTCTTAATTGCAGTCGCTTGCTGTATATTCCAAAAAACACATATTAATAAGTTTTGCACTAGGAATGAAATATAATGTCTTTTATAGAATATTGTGATTTAAGAATCTAACATGTTTGATTTATTTATTTTTCTCTTAACTACTTATTGCTTTTAAAAATATTTTTGATATATTTGAATTTTATTCCCACGATTCAGCTTTTACCCTTTAGTTCAAACCTCGGCGTTCTTTCTACCGTATTTTTTAATTTACCCATTTTATTTTTGTATATATATGTTTTCAATGCATAAATAAACGACCGATTAGTATTTTTAGGCTTTATTTTAAGAATCTGCTTCAAATAGGTTTATAAAATCTCTTCTTATTAGTGGAAAAATTTTATGATGATTTATTTGTAACATTGGCAAGTATCACTGACATTCATAATTGTCCTTATTCTGTTGTTGTTGAAATTTACCTCTAGGTGCAAAAGTCTTACCGTATTTCGACGTGTATGAATCCCACTATTTACTATCAAATATTCATGCAATACTAAGATTTAAACGTGTATGTGCGATACTATTTTCTGAAAATATTAATACAATACTAAAATATACTCATGCATTTTTTATCAAGTATTAAGATAAAACCTTTACTTTAACGCGCATTTTCCATCGAAGATAAACACCATACTTCGAGTTAGATGTGTATATTGCCCTATGTCCAGTCAAATATTAACTCAAGACTACAATGCAATATTTTGCACACAGAAAATCGACATAAAGCATGAAATATCCATTTGTACCTATTATAAATCTATAGCCGCTACTATCGAAATTTGTATACTTTAGTAATATCGGAATAAGATAGAAGGATGTGCTAGTAAATGAATTAAAGTAGCACACGCATGATATGGACAGAAGGAATTCTGAAAGTAAAGTTTTACAAAATATACCTTAATCAAGCTAGTATGTCACCAGCTTAAATATAGACAGTGATGTGCAAACTTAAGTGAACATCTAAGTATTTAAAATAATTGTCTCTTTTTTCTAGATAATCAACAAATATGAATTAAACTATATATTCATTAAGAAAAAACTATTATGAAAACAATAAACTTACAATTTTTTTTATCAAGCTCGAATAAAATATTAATTAAAAATTAAAAATTTGCAAATGTGCAAATGTAAGTGGACTCTTACATTTAGTATTTGGAGACTGCTCCTTTTGCGGTTACAATATCAACCATTTTTTTTCTATAATCTTTAAGAAGTTTCTGGTAGTAGTGAGTGCAGATTTTTGACTATTCTTCTTGGCAAAATTTCGCTCGATTTTGGGTTTCTTGCATGTACTACCTTCTTTCACTTGAATCACAGATTTTCAGTTGGATTTAGATCAGGAGTTTAACTAGGCATTTCCAGAACTTGAAATTTCTTTGTACACACCCATTCTTTTGTAGACTTACTTTGATGTTTACGATCATTGTCCTGTTGGAAGTTCGAGCCCTGCTATAAACACAACTTCTGAACTCAGAACAAGATGCTTTCATTAAAAATAACCTAGTATCTTGCAGAGTCCATTGTGTCGTCAATGTGTACTATTTTGCCGGTTCCAGATGCAGCAAAGCACCATCAAATCATAATGCTGTCACAGCCTTGTTTAATGGTTGTTAGCACATTCAACTCTTCAAAAGCCGTATTAGGAGCTCGCCAGATATACCACATATTGTTCCTCCCCAAAAGCTCTAGATAGTTCTCATCCGTCCATAAAACCTTTTGCCAGAATGTTTCTAGCTTATTAATATGAGAGTTGGACTAGTTGAGGTGAGCATACTGGGTTTTTTGTAAGCAGTCACTTTTCTAGACATTCTGCCATTAAAATCGACATTATTCAGATTTCGTGGCACTGTAGATGAATGCACTTTGATTTTAACATTGGTCAGTGAGAATTGGAGAATCGAAAATGTCATAGTAGGATTTGCCTGGGCTTGCCGATCTAGATGTTTATTTGCTTCTGCTGTTATTTTTCGCGAACGGACACTTCTTGACTGTGGTCTCGCCATACCAAATGCCTTCCATTTATAAATAAATTGTTGCACAGTAGAGAACTGCACTCCTAATCGTTTTCATAGCTTTTTTTAGCATTCTCCATCATTAGGGGCTTCAATTATGCGATTTTTAAAAATATTCAGTGTTTTCTATTGCTTCTATATTTTTTAAAAGATTTAGTCTATAACTGCACACTTTCGCATACACATTAAGTTATATAGTTTGACTGCAATATACACAGCTTACCCAAAAATTGGACACGAGTCATTTTGAATTTTACATGTGAGCAAAAACTATTTGCAGTGGAAACCATGTAAAAAAAAATAGAGTTCACTTACTTTTACACATCGTTATTTTTAATTCTTAATTAATATTTCTGTTCCAGCTTGATAAAAAAACTTTGAAAGTTGTTGTGATTCATTTAATAAAGGTTTATCTTGGTGAATATATAGTTTAATTAAGATTTGTTGATTATCTTGAAAAAAGAAACAATTATTTTAAATATTATCTTAAGAGTTTACTTACTTTTGCACAGGACTGTATGCTGTATATCTACGAGATCTTTCATTATTTGAGGATATATACGACATACATAGTATTTCAATTTTATTTTCTTCCTTTCTGGCGACATTTCAGTCTTCTCTTCTTCTTCTTCTTCTTCTTATTATTATTATTATTATTATTATTATTTTCTTTGATTTCTGGCATTTACACATTTCTTTCCGGGTCCCGCCCAGGGACCTAAGGTTAGAAATGGCATCATGACACTTTCCGCTGACAAAAAAAAAAGAAAAATTACATAGATAAAGCCCTTCGTAAAGTGTGGTCTGTACTTGTCAGAATAATTGTTTGTATCGCCTTGAAGCATGGGCTTCCAGGAATCCCTTCAATTAGTCTACTGCAATCTTTTCCAACCAGTCCTAGGGCTTCAACTACAACAGGGGTTATTGATGTTCCCATATGCTACATTTTCGAGATTTCTATTTCAAGGTCCTTGTATTTTGACAGCTGCAAGACTTAAAACGGTCCTTTAATGACATACCCTGCATTATTCGATCTTCTCTTGCCGAAGTTTTGCGGGGTCTGCCGGTTTTAAAAGCACTAACTATTTTGCCAGTATCATTGTAGGATTTAACAACCCTGCCTACAACACTCTTGGAACGTTTCGCTTTCTCTGAAATCTCTCTAATGGTGTGCTTTTCCTTGTGTAGCTTCACAATAGCTTGTATCACAGAGTAATCAAGTTTTTGGCGTTTCGCCATGGTGCCGGCTGATGCAACGTTTACAAATGACTAAGTAAGAGACTCTATTCTTTAGAGGAAATCAAAACATTTGAATATAGCATACTGTTTACATTGTTTTTCTCAATTTTTTCCCTTACTTTTGGACGTTCCAAATTTGAAAATAAATAAATAATTATTATAATTCCTTTTTCATACAAGTGGACTCGACCAGTGTGTATTTGTACTGCTGCCGGTGAATACCCGGGAGAGTGAGTAACAGTTAGACGAGAGATACACATCCCGGAATCCACAACAAATTGGCGACGAAGATTCGAACTCACACGGGAAGAAAAAACAACAAAAAAGTTTTTTTTTCCCTCGTCGTCCACACCAAATTGGCGACGAGAATTCGAACTCACATGGGAAGAACAAACAACAATTTTTTTTTCCTCGTCGCACACAACAAATTGGTGACGAGCGATTCGAACTCACACGAGAAGAAATAGAAAAATCCTCCCCTCGTTCACAACAAATTGGCGACGAAGATTCGAACTCACACGGGAAGAAAAAACAACAACAAAAGTTTCCCTCGTCGTCCACAACAAATTAGCGACAAAGAGTTAAAAGGATTAAAAATACGTAAAATTGTGTTATCATGGAAGATTTTAAAAATATTTTGGTAGAGCTGGTAAAATACCAAAATGATCAACAATTACAACTACAAGAAAGAATGGAAAAAAATGGCAAAAGCAATTGCTACAAACGCAGAAGGATCTCCAGGAACTAATATTGAAAGTAGCGGGTAACAAGCAATTAGATATTGAAAAAGAGGCAACTTTTTCGCAAGATGCAGTGTGGAATACCATAGAGATTTCCAAATATTCTCTAGATAAGGATAAAAATTTAGAAGATTACTTCAGAAGACATGAAGACATCTTTATCATAGACTGTCAAAACTGGACAGAAGCAAAAAAGCTACGTCTATTGCTTAGAAAATTAGGAACTGAAGAATATACAAAATTCGTGGATCATATCTTGCCAAAAAAGACGAACGAATTAACATTTGACGAAGCAGTGACATGTCTTAAAGAACTCTTCTGCCCGAAAATATCCCTCTTCCACAGTAGGTGGAAATGCCATAACCTGGTAAAGGGCGATAATGAGGATTATTCCACGTTTGCCGCAATCGTAAATAAACATCGCGACGACTTCAAATTAGCGGAATTAACCCCGGACAATTTCAAGTGTCTCACCTTTGTTCAAGGGTTAGTTTCAACAAAAGATAGCGAAATGCGCAAAAGAATGCTTTCAAAATTACAAAATGAACCGGGACTAACACTACAACAATTATCGGAAGA